CCGACTGGGGATCACTCTCCCCACGGGAATAAGGATACACTCCACACAGAGCCCAGGATTAAACACTCACCAAACAGAACCTTAAAAGGATCTCTCACCCAGACCTCCCCAAAACCTCACACAGACTAGGATCACTCACACACAGACTAGGATCACTCAGACAGACCCAAAGACAGGAACTCCACCACACCCCCAAGCTAGGACCCCCTCATCACAAGCGGTACACTTCCCACAGACTAGGATACACTCTCACACAGACTAGGATACACTCCACACAGACTAGGATACACTCTCACACAGACTAGGATACACTCACACACAGACTAGGATACACTCTCACACAGACTAGGATACACTCACACACAGACTAGGATACACTCTCACACAGACTAGGATACACTCACACACAGACTAGGATACACTCTCACACAGACTAGGATACACTCACACACAGACTAGGATACACTCTCACACAGACTAGGATACATCACCACACAGACTCACACAGACGAGGATACACTCACACAACATACTAGGAATACACTCTCACACAGACTAGGATACACTCTCACACAGACTAGGATACACCTCACACAGACTAGGATACACTCTCGCTCAGGGCTCAATTTTCAGCTGCCGTTAAGCCGGATTTATCGAACGCTCGTTTGCAATTTCGACATGTTTAAAGTCGTCACTCTTCTGTTTTTAAACTCTAGCGCCAGGATTGGTAATTGACCTGTCTTACATGAGCTTGCCTGCCCTGACATGGGAAGGGGTGTCAATTTCAGGCAGCGCTGGTGGGGAATGTTTAAGATCTAACTTAAAGCTGGTTTTTAGCAGTAACATGGTTATGATATGGCATGGATTTTGACAGCAGAAGCGCACAGAAACCGCTTTGAAATAAATCTTAATCAACAAAGCTTTATTAAAAGATCAAGTTGGAAGCATCCCTTTTTATATATGTAGGCTATTGTATATTATTTGAGCTCCTGTTATTATTTAAATAAATGTATTATTATGAATGTATTTATTATTATTATTATTATTATTATTATTATTATTATT